TGTACATGGTAACAAGCACTCAAAAGGCTATGGCAAAAAAGTGAATAATCTGCTTTCTGCCTCTACGGTATATAAGAAACAAGGTAATTGGCTTCATCTGCCCCTGTCAAGATCCAGGTAAGTCACAGGGAAGTACTTTCTAATGGTCAAAATAGCACAGCCCTGTAATAAATCGCTTGGGGAAATTGTGGAGTCTCTAGTATCAGAGGTCTTTAAGCATAAATTGGAAACAACTGTTGTAGATATAATTGATGCTGGCTAGGAGCATAGAAAGGAGTAGATGATTCAGGTTCATTTCAGCCCTAGTTTTCTACAGTTCTGTGTAATAGGTACCATAAATAAAATTAAGGAAAAAGGTCAGACTTTTAAGCAGTCTTCATTTGTCCTTTTGCCATAAAATCTTTCAAGTTAGATAGGAACTTGAATTATTAAAAGATAAAACAAAGAGCAAAAGGAATTCTCACGCAGCAATTAGAAAGAAGCTTAAAAAAAAAAAATCTTCCTGCTGCAGTCACAATGAGAGTCACAGCAATTGTTCAGTCATGAGTTGCCACAGGAATAAAGGCCTAGATGAAGGCTGCCTTTATTTTAACCAGTAAGTCTTTCAGAAAAGGGCCTGTATATTATTCCCACCTAGTGTCATGCTGAGTCTGTCCTCAACATTTATCGAAGAGTAATTACACTAGCATACTCAATTTTGCTCGAATACGTTTCTCCCAGATTATCTAAGATGCTGTACAGTAATAATGCAGTACCCTACTGTGTGCCTGAAGCAGAGCCGATTCACCGGCCTGGCCTAGTTACATCTCATTGGCCAAAGCAATTGAAAAAGAAGTGTGATCATAGGATGTGCAAATATATTTTTTCAGTGTTTATTCTATTTCCTTTGCATTTAAATTCACTAATTTAATACAGACTGCTCAGGGTCTCTAGTGTTTCCATTTTACTTTTTCTTGTTTATTCTCTTTTGCTAAGTGGAATAGCGATATGTTCCTTAAAATCAGTACTGTCCTTATTTATAGCACCTGCCTTGATGTGGTGTTAAAAAAATAAAATAAAATCAGAGAAGAAGGTACAGAAGAAAGCAAAATTTCTCTTCCTCGTGCCAGTGGCCAGCTGCTCAGATGAAACTGCCATGCATGGAGAAGACTTTTTCCCAAGGTCTTCTTCCACAGGTCTTGCTGTGAGATCCTGTGGAGGCCTCTCTTCCATCTACATCTCATCAGGCCAGACCAAGTGCTGTTATTCTACAAGTAAATCTTACATTTTAGTACACAGATGTTACAGGACATAACTAGAGCTAAATACATCCATGTAGTGTTGCCATGGAAATACAGAATTTTCATGTAAATATAAATTTTCTGTATCCACCTTATTTCACTAACACAAATTAGCAAAGCTGCAATCAGAGAACTGCCATGCCTTTATTTTCTTTTAGTGCTTGGCACTGTCTACTGAAAATCAGAAGAAAGTGAAAACAGGACATTTTAGCTACTATAAGAGTATCATGTCATGATCATATTTTATGTGCATGCTGTGTTAAACTGTTACACAGCACTGCATCTAAAAACTGTTCAAATGTTTTTCAAGTCTCATCCATATCTTATAGGTGGGGAAAATTCAGCAATGCCTAGATCATAAAGTGAGTCAGTATGCTTCTCTGGCTTGATACCTGGGCCCTGATCTTCTCATTTAATCACATCATTTAGCCATTAAGAGACATAGTTTATAAATAGTAGAGCACAGGTTATCTGTTTTACAATGAGAGTACGCAATGCCCAAAGCTGTACTCCAAACTGGGAGACAGAAACAATTATCTCTGAACTTACGCTGCAGAGGCACTGCCTGCAAAGGAACATGCCACTTATTAAAATAAATATGTGAAAAATGAAGTGAAGAGCAATCAAAATAGAGCATACATAAATTGAAGTAAGTGTTATACAAAGTAGATAGTGCTAATTTAACTAAATCTGCTTCTAATTCAAGATAGTTTAACTCAGAATACCGTTCATGTATATACAAAACAATGTAATTACCAAGTAGTCTTCAATACCAGGAACTATTATGCTACTTGGGGAGCAGAGCTGTTGGGACTGGTGAAAATTTGCAAACAAGTCCCAGGGTATTTGCAAAGTAAGGGAGCAATGCTGAAAATGGACACAGTCTTGGAAGGTCCCATTCATGGCGGGTTGTGGAGCAGGAGACACGATCAGTGAATGACAGGTGGCTCAGGCTGGAGGACAGGAGGTCGCTGCGTATGCTGGAGACCTTTAGCAACAAGGCTGTTTCGAGGCAGGTACCTTTTACAGAAGTCCAGCCAGCAGTCTTTCACCTCAGAGGGCTGGGGATCCACGAGCCTAGCTGGTACTTTTGTGTGGTTGAAGAATGGGATTTCTGCATCTGTGAAAACTCTGGGGGGTTTTCCTGTCCATTTTGCCCTTTTATCTGTTAGTTCACAACAAAACTATTGACCCTATTGGCCAACCTCAACAAAATTTGACAGGAGGCTAGGTCTCGAAGATACAAGATGCCAACAGTAGGTCTGTTAAACCCATGACTGGTCGGAGCACCACAGGTTATCTCGTGCCCAAATATGAAGTCAAGCAAAAGAAACAGTGGGAGAGAAGAGGACAGAGCAGCAGGGACTGAGATTAGGGATTGTAGCAACCATGATGGGATCTATGTGGACCACAGGGAGAGGTCAGAGGAGGTACTATTGGTGGGCAGAAATTCTGGGCTAGGATGCTGGGGAGATAACGGGAGGTGTGGTGGAGAGGGTAGGAGGAGCTGCAGGTGTTGTGAGGATGGGACACGAAAGAGAGAGCTCAGTATTGCAGTGGCAGTCTTTGAAAGACATGGGCTAGGTTATTAAGGGAATTCACATTTGTTGGGCACCCCCATCCTGTGAGTTTTCTGCAAATGGCAGGCTGGGTAGAGGAAGGAAATTTCCTTCCATGGGGTCTTATGAATTTCTAATTAAAAAAAAAGAGTTCACACTGCAAGTTCAATACAAATCTGTTAAAAAGTCAGTCAGTCATGAGGCGCAAGCATGGTTAGCAGATGTCATCTGTTATGGTTCTTGCTACGTCTGAGAAGGAGCCCTGTGAGCCAGTCTCACTTTATGACTTGCAAGGGAGGAAAAGTTGAACGGGTTCTTCCAAAGTTTTTCCCAAATTTCTCTCCCACAAAAATGTGTTTCTGGGAAGAGAAGAAAATTTCAATGTTTTCAGCCTCATACCATAAAATGTTTTTAGGATTATGGGCATGTGTAAAGAAGGACCTGCTAAAAGACTGCAGACTTCGCTGGAACATTTCTCTGCACAAATTTGTTCCAAGTTTTTTCACACGAATGAACTGGAAGTGTCTGCTTTCCACTGAGCAATCATGAAATGTCTGATCCTTCTCACTCCTACAGACTCAGCTAAACCGATTTGCAGCACATGAACACAGATCAGTTCAGACATCTCTTTCTGTCCACTCCAACTTGATTGCTTTTGGTGCACTCCTTGTGTGCCGCTATTACCTCTGCGAGTCAAACACATCAGTGTTATGCTGTGGGAGCATCTTTGCTACAGTTATGTCTTCATTGGCTGATAAAGATATATTTTTATCCAGGGTGGACATGATTGTGTGCAGCCATGCAGATGTGATTGCATTAAATGATGTAGCAGTGTGCAATCCATCAGTTTCCATATATTGTTGCCTTTTTTTACCTTGGATAACTGATTAGCTATCTCATTGTAGAAAACACAGCTGGGACAAGCACTTAGATTTCACTGTGAAGTAAAGTAGATGAGAGTCTTTGGCTGATCTCCACAAGCCACATCATGACAAATGCTGCCACTTTAGGATTTTAGAGAAAGTCAACAAAAAACATTTGTTACACTGTAAGAAACACACACTTAAAAAGCACTCAGTGTCACTAAAAAGCACTCAGTGTCACTAAAACAATGCCCGAGGAAAGAGCAATGTATTCTTACTTAATGTTATTTAGTCACTGGCACCTTATACAAACTAAAATTCCAATGAAATACAGTCAAGAATTCATCCCAGATGCTAACTCAAGTGAACACTGTAGCTGGGCTTACTAGATGAATATTTAACCATTTGTCATTTGCTGCATAACAGTGCACACAGACTGGTTTTTTTAATAGTGAAAACACAGCTGAGAGAGGTGCTACTAAAACGTAAACCAGGAGACTTTCAAATAAGATAATGTGATTCTACCCTTAAGCATCTTTCTTCCAAGGCTTCAGAGGTTTCTGCTGAATGTTATAATGTGCAGAAATTACCTTCCTCTGAGTGAGACTTTGGTATCTCAACATCTATTGTTGAGATTACTTCCTAGTAATAAATTAAATTGTGTGATGTTAATTGCTATATAACATTGTATACCATAACTTCTGTGGTGGCTATATGTCATATCAATGATATTACAGTAAGAATCACCCAGATTAATGAACAATGAACTTTGATGAAAACCGAGAAAAGCACAGTGATAACGGAACCAGAACTGGCTTCAGCACGCAACAGTCCAACACCCCACACCATCTCTCCTGCCCTGAAGGACTGTTATGACAGATGGAGCCCAAAGTCATGGGCTAACTGAACTCAACGGACATTTTATAGGGACAGCCCATAGACTAAGGGAATGGTATCTGTGTGTATAGATATCAAAAGACAGATTGATTACTTCCTAGAAGCTACCACTGTATTTAAAAAGTCAATAATACTTTCTGAGATGTTTTTCTTCTCAAATGGAGACGATGCTATCTTTGCCTTCCCAAATTTTAATTTCCTATTCAGATTACAATATGCATCCAAGGATCCTGTGCTGAGCAGGTTTGCAGAAAAAAAGCTGCTGAAAATTAGTTAAGTGACTGTGTCACACACATAGCAGATTATTAATCTGCTGCTATAGATTATTAGGAAGATGTTAACTCATGCTTCACCATAACATCTTATTCTCACTTAGATGTTTTGACTTTCTCTTTTTGTAGTACCTGCATGCAAATGGGATTGTGCATCGTGACTTGAAGCCAGAAAATCTACTCTATGCAACACCAGCACCAGATGCACCGTTAAAAATCGGTAAGCAGCATTAAATGTATGCTTCCCTAATTCCTTTGTACTAGTAATATATGCTAACTGATATTTACAGTATATACATCTCACCACCACTTTATTCAAA